ACATATATATTAATGAGTAAAAAAATCTAGGTAAGAAATGACAGCTAACTAACTTAAGTAGGTAGGTTAACCTAGGTAGTCTAAAGTCTTAAGTTTAAGACAATAAATATAGGAAAATAACATCTCTGTAAGTATAAGATAGAATTTTGACCTTCAATCAGTGGTTACATAACGATTCAGAATACTAAATACGAATAGTATTGAATTGAGTTATACCAGTTTTAAATTCGGTCTCTCTAAGTGTTGAAAATTAAAATTAATGGAAGTTTTTATTTACCGGTCTAAGTTATCCTGTATAATCCAAGCATAAAATTGATGCAAATTATTAAGACACCATTTATTAAATGGATTATGAAATTGAAAAAACCCACAAAACTATGCATCGATCTAACAGATTGTTTTAAGTTAACATTTGTTTATGTTGGCATTGGATAATTTAATTTATGCAAATATTTCGGATTTCAAATAATTTGACCGTGAATCTGTTTCTTTTGAAAAGGTTTTTTTTACTTTCCATTTATATTTTGGGTACTTTCAAAATATGCCATTTTTCAAAAAAGCAATCACATTATTTTACATTCTAAATCATGTACTTACCCATCTGTTTCAGATGAACTACTACTGCTGTCCTCAGCAAAGAATCCAGGAGCTAAAAATAGATTATAAAGTAAATTTCAATTTACCTTGCGTTTGATTGATGTATTAATGACTTGATTAATTTTCTTGATTAATAAAAAAATAATTAATAAATAAATTTCTTAATTACAGAAATTAGTGGTTTTCGCACACAAAACAATATAGACATCTAATATTACATATCACCAAATCCTGTTTTTCTCCAAACATTCTTAGATTGATTCTAGTTGAGATTTGGTCAGGCTTTGAATTTATCTTTAACTTAAAAAAACTATAAAATAAATTGTTTTTATATTTACGATAAGGCCTTGGATTCCTTTTCAACTCTTTTTGCCAGTGATTAAGCACAGCAAAACGAAATAATTCACTCATTTTCACAAATTATAAGTCACTTGTCAAAAAGACGTTATTCACTTATAAAAGCTCAAATAAGAATGACGAATTAATATTTTCTGTTATATTGTTGGTGTAAATAACAAAGGTATATTTTTAGCAACAATGTTTTAAGAATCATTCTAACAATGTACTAAAATTAAAAGTTTTGCTAAATTCTCTGAAGTATTGTTGTTAGAAAGTAATTAAAAGGAAAGAAAACTTAACAATAATAAAAAAAAAATTTAAAACTCAGAGGGCAGTAACAATAGAAGTTTAGGAAATTATATTTTTATGAAAAATGACAATGAATCAACTGATTTTTACGAAATTTTAGATAAAACGTATTGACATTAAGCTAAAATGTTTAGTATTAAGCTAATCTGGATTACTTGGGTCTCACATGAGGATATTTTTTTAACACTGAGAAAAAATATGTAAAAAACTTGTTTATATAAATCTGCTTACTGAAAAGTGAAGTGTTTGAAACACATCTGCATTAAAAAATTTCTAAAAGATATTATTAAAAACTTTTGCACTGCAAAAAAATTATCATGAATTTTTCGCTGAATAAACTCTGCACATTCCCACATTATAAAAAATTCCGTATCAAATTACGGAATAAAGTATCGGCACTTTGGGTGTATAATTCGAAAAATCCATTTTACCTTAAAACTTATTTTTACCATAAAATATTATACAGTAATTTTTACAGTAATATTTATTTAATTGATATAATTCATTGAAAAAAAGGTAATTTTTACTATAGA